GTGTCATAGTCCTGCTTCACCAGGTCAAACATGCAAAAAGGTTTTCCACGTCCTTACAGTCAAACAACTCATTACGAAGAAGGTGCCTCCCGTTATGTTTACAAATGTTTGACTGATGCAGATTCTTGGGTAGTTCCATATCACCCAGCTATTCTCTTATTATGGAACACTCACATGAATATTCAGTATATAACTGATAGAGGATTTGCTCAATATATGGTAAAATACATTGTTAAAAGAGAACCTTCACATATATTTAATATACAAGAAGGTGATATAAGAATATGTTATCGCTCGAAGACTTAGCTCTATAGAATTAATGTTCTTACTCCTAGGATATCAAATATATAATTTATCAGCTACAGTAAAATTTCTTACTACAGATCTGCCTAATTCAAGAACTCAAGTTATACTTCCTGCATACATGATAGATGAGACTGATGATAATCCATATTATGATGATAATATTACAAAATATATGTCTTGACCCTAGGATCCTGAATTTGAAAACCTAACGTATCCTCAATATTTTCAATTTTACTCCATCACTCCTTCAAGACCTTCAACTACACGACAGTTGTTTCAAGACTGTTTAATAATTATGTTGTAAAACGTTCAAAAAAGATTATGGTACGACATCGTTTTTTCAAATTAGAAGATGCAGAATTATTTTTCTATCAAAAACTGCTTCTGACGATTCCTACCAGAAATGAGTCTGATTATAGAATAGGTCCAAATGGAACTTATCATGAAAAATTTTTATCCTTATTTTCAGATTACTTGAATAATTTACGTAATGAAGTTGCAAGCAGAAATCAATCATACGTAACTCATCTAAATAATCAATTTTCTGAAATGTTAGATAGCTTATTAGTATCTTTACAATATGAAATACCTAATAATATTCAAAATATCATAAAGATATAGTTAGAAAGTATTAAAATACTTCCTTATATATTTCTTCAAACTGCAGTTCTTGAATTACCCCAAGATCAATATCATGCATTATCAACTATCACTTCATATATGGGTTCTAATGATGGAACCAAATGGCCATATTACTTTATTACTGGATCTGCAGGAACTGGTAAATCATACCTATTAAAATTAATCACCAATGTTCTTGACCAAAGAGGATCAAATTATCTCTTACTAGTACCTACTAGAGTTGCTACATAAAATGTAGGAAGAACAACCATATATTCTACTTTACAGATCGTAACTTCACATGAAGGATTTCGTACCTGAGCTTATGCAAACCAGGAGCTTAACGAACGTCTAAGGCTTATTGATACAATAATAATTGAAGAGATATCGATGGTATCCGCAAAACTATTCAACTTTATATCTGACATTTTTGCGAACCTCAATAGTAATGCTACACCTTTTGGAGGTATAAACATGATTGTTGTTGGTGATCTTGCACAATTGCCTCCAGTCACTGGTGAACCAGTATTTTATGCAACTTGTTGGAGATTATTTCATCCTTTATTTTTAACAAACCCACAATGACAACAATCAGATAATCCTTTTTATAGAATGTTAGAAGAAATCTGAATGGGTAACATAACCTCTCAAACATGACAAATCCTACAAAGACGACATTCTGAATTCTTATCATGACCTGTCATTAATACTTTGCTGAATACAACTAATATTGTCGGATATAGAGAAATTGCCTAACAAATCAATAGAATGATCTGCAATATATTGCCTATGCCTGATGGAAAATTTTTGATCTCTTAGTCAGTAGATACGATAGATTCTACTGAATGTGATCCATTATATTCTGAATCTATGTTTAAAACAAAAACAAACTTTCCAATTTCTGTTTGACTTTAACCAGATGCACATGTCATATTTTTAGACAACTTCTTGATGCAACAAGGAATTTGCAATAGTACTGTTGGTATAATTACAGACCTTGATATTGAAAATGAAAATATTCGTGTTGCTTTTTCAGTCAGGGGTTCTATTATAGATACTACGATTTATAAAAAAACACACTATTTTGAATTACATGGAAATAATTGTAAACGTACACAATATCCACTTCAGAATTCTTTCACTCTCACAGTACTTAAAACCCAAAGTTTAACATTACCAAAAGTCTCTCTCGCATTAGATCAAAACATTTTTGCACCAGAACAAGCATATATCGCACTTAGCAGATGTTCTATATGGGAAAATGTTGATATATCACATCTCGACATATCAGCCTTCATGACAGATCAAAGAATGATTGAAGAATATCAAAGACTTCAACACATATCACAATCAAACCTAAACTTTCCTAGACATTAAAAATCACAAAACTACATCAAATTAATTCTATATTCTTTATTGTGTACCATTTTTATAATAATTACTAAATATGTTATATATACATATTAAATTATTTGTAATTATTTTCTATATACACAAACAATTTAAATAATATCCTAAAATACAAAATAAAAATTAAATTATGAAATTTCTAAAAAAACTCATTCTTATTTTCTAAAATTTCAATTTATCAAATCTTAAGCTCATATGATCTTGAAATAAACTTCATATAAACTGATCATCATAATCAACCTATAAAAATTATAAATATTTTATAGATTACTCAATTATATACATATGTATGATCTTAACAGTAACATTTCATTATATAATTTCATTCATCTTTATTTTATATAACATATCTCTAATCTTAATAAAATTTGCTACATGCCAATTTTTAATCTTACATTCAATTTAATTAATAAATAAGCATAAAAAAATATATTACAATATTTAATTAAGTAAATGAAATGTTCATGTAATATGATAAGATATCAACAATCAAAACATAAAATGCCCTTAATTGATCATTATAAAAAAAATGACTCATATATAAAAGAAATAAAATTAGTTTTGGATTACTTAAAAATCTATTACGTTAATATTAAAAATGTTTGTATTCTGACTTTGTTTATTAAGATAATAAGAAACTTCACGAGATAAAAATGATAAGAATATTTGATCTAATTCTAACAAAAAAAACAAATGATGATTATTGATCGACAGATCACGACTCACAGTTTACTATTATGATGTGTATTACAAGAAGGGGGTGGTTCCTTAAGGAGCCCTAATACTGGCTAGTATGAATGTAAAATCGAAGAAAAAAATCGCTCTGATATATACAAACTTGCCTGATTTAATCAAATTGTTGCTTGAATCATAAAAAATAACAAATATATGGAAAACCCTTATTTTGACATATTTTTTGCCAGGTAAACAAATAAGACTCGAAGAAAATCTTAATGTGAAGTTGGTCCACCAGCTCTATAAGTTCTACAATATAAAGAAATTTGAATATGCATAATTCAATTTCTAAGCTTTAAAGAATTTGTTTATAAAAAAGTATTAATTTTTTTTTATTTTACCTAAATTTATATAATAATATTTATCACTGAATGAATTAGAAAGTTATATCAAACAAATTTATTAACTTGGTGATATTATTTAATATTTTAAACAAAAATGAATTTATATAATAGACTTCTTTCAAGGATGGCTATTAACAAAATGTCAGTTAATTTAAAGAAAGATTTGTTGATTTTTGATTAAAGTTTCATTAATGATCATTAACGGTTTTAATTATACATACATACATACATATATATATATGTAATATATCACTTTGGAAGCTTCATAGATCTTGCTTTTAGCACTTCAATCAACTGCTATATAACTATAAATAATTAATAAAACATTCATCAAGTATAACGGTTTAGAAGGACTTTTATTTATATATTTAATAATAGATACAGATTATACTTGTAAAAATCAAGGCTTGTTTATTCTATTCACTCTCATTAATTCCAATGTAGATTTATTTTTTATATACAAGCTAGTAATAGGCTACTTAACTTTTAAGCATTTTTATTACAGTGAACTCTTGATATAACAAATTCTAGGATCTGGATATCAACTTCGTTATAAGCTTATAACAAATTTTTTAAAGAATTTAATTGGCTAGTTCACTATAGTAAAGGTAATTTAATATATTTGATTTAAAAATTCGCTATATCAAGGGTTCGCTATATCAAGGTTTGACTGTATAGTGTTGCTATGATAGTTTCATTTCATCAATTAATATTATAATAAATTAATAATCTATAAATAATTATAAATCAGTCTCTTATAATTAAAGTTATAATTTTTCTAACACAACCTTTCGAGTAGATATAAGTGACTTTGTAGGGAACACTTTGGCACAATTGTTGCTGCTGAATTTGTTTTAGTCTGCATACTAGTTGGAAGAAAATCTTTAAAATAAGTGTGAAGAAAAAAAACGCTTCTGACCTAGCGTAGAATAACCAATATTTAAGCTAACCTTTTCTTTTAACTATTGTTAGAAAGTTTTAGTCTGACTCTAAAATTTTTATTATAGTTGAAAACCGCTTGCTATATGAAAAACGGAGAATTTTTTTTGAAGTGGACGATAATAATTTTATTTGTGTAATGTTTATATTGAATAACACTTGATTTGCAATGTCCTGTGACTAGTATTGTTATAATGCGGTAATTATTATCCGGAATGAAGCGGAAGACTATATATGTTTGTGAATATTAAGTATAACCATGTCACATGGTGAAGTCCATTTGTCCGCACGCATCACGTCACTGAAATTTTGTGCTGCACTGATAAATAAAGGTGTTATATGATGTGTTATATGAAGTGTAACATGAAAGTGTTACAGTACATGATAAGTGTGAAAAAAAATTTTTTTTAAAAATAACGAAGTTCGAAACTCTAGTTATATATACGTGTTGTGGAATAAACAATCTCTACTTTAATATATATAATGGAATATTCTAATACCTCTGTTTTAAAATATCCTGATAAAATTTTATTTTATTCAATCTTTTTGTTGTATTCAAAGATGCAGCATGTTTTTTATACAGTTTTTATTCCTCAGATTATTGGAATCGCCTATATAATACTTGTGAAACTCTTACTGATTGAGATGAGTTTTTTAAAGAAAAGTTTCCTATTCAAGTTTGCATGATTCATACTTCTGTTTATCAAAGGAACTCTAAATATTAGAAGGAGAATTTGAACCTAATACAAAACAAGGAAAGAAAATTGCTAGTCTTCTCAGAGCTCTAAAGGTCAGTACTTTGCTTTTCAACTTCTTCTATGTGTGCTAAACCTCTGTGCTGCGTATACAGGAAAAGAAGAGCACTGGAACATAGAGCTTTCACGATATGCATATATATATAGTAGTTGAGCTGCTGCTACTACTCTGTGCTGCGTGTATAGGGGAAGAAGAGTACCAGAACATAGAGCTTCCATGGTGTGCAATTAGGGAAAGTCCTGACTTAGCATTTTTTTGCTAACATTTCTTTCAAATTAATAGAAAGTACAAGTAAATCTCAAAAAAACAAAACTGGATGATGACAGCATATGTGAAGTGAAGAAATTGTATGTCAACATTGGTGAATTTCCTGCATTACTTAAGTACTGTCAAAGTATTGAAGAAATACAAGAAAATTATGTTGATGAGATTTCTCAGTTGGGTAGACACCTTTCTATACTTTTAAAGTGGTCTGTTATAGACAGCAAGCTTTTTGAGATACCTGCAACTCCACTAACTATTCTGAGACCTGCTCTCTACTTTCATAATCTCAAAGTAGTACTTGAAGAATATCCTGATCTACAAGTTAACAATATTCTGGATGCATTATTTAAAAATAAAAAAATTGAAATGGTGGGTACTTGGTATCAAATCCAAATGAAGGGGTGGTTAGAATGGTTTAGCTTAAAACAAAATCATAATGATTACTTTTATACAATAGATACTCATACAACACTATCAGCAATCATGTTATTACTCCTTTATAACCCAGTTCAATGTCGAGGACTTAGTAGCTACCCATCAGAAGCTCATGTAAAGATTCAAATGTGGTCAAAAGTTTTTATCAGATTCATTTGTTTTGAATCAAATTCGATTTGAACCAATCTGAGAACTTAATCACCTTTTTCCTGGAAATGCTAAGGAAGGTTCATCAAGATCTGATTTTGCTGCTGTGATATTGAACTCAAGACACTTGCACTTCCCTTTTTTCATTGTTGAATTTGAACAGCAAGGTTTTAAGGTTCACAAGGATTTTGCAGTTATTGTTTGTGAAGATGTATTTGAACTAAATAAAATTTTAGTGAAGACACAAGGTCTTTTGCCTGAAAAAATAATTCAAATTAAGATACATGTTGGACTCATTAATGATACATCTATTAACTTGGGTGTGATCAGACCAATATTTAATGATGATAAGACAGCAGTACTCTTTGCATATGATCAAGACATTGTATCTTATAACATTCAAACATGATGTCAACATGATAATGTAAAGAATGTTCTTGATCTAATTGTATATTTTCGGAAAATTGTGTGCAAAGATGGACTATTCATCAAGAACTTCCTGGAAAAATCAACAACTCACTATAATAAAGTATTTTGAGGGCAGTGCCAAAACTCCCAGATATTGCAGAAAAATCTCGAGAAGCTGTCACTAAGCTAACACCTAGAAAAAAGCAAGTTAAGTATATGTACCAATTTGATTGAAAATCTCACCTTTTTTTGTATCACTAAATTGTTAGAAAATCAATTGATAAAGTTGAAACATTGTGTTGTGTATGTAGTGTGTGAAAAAAATAAAAAAAAATGTTTATATTAATATGCTGATTTTTTTTGTAATTTTTGGTAACAGTTTTTTTTTTTTTTTTTTGATGAAATGGTGCATTTCAGAGTAGAAGTCTGTTTCTTAGATCTTTTCCAAAAAATAATATTAAGTTGCAAATGTTGTTTTTGAATAGTACCTGCCGATATTATGTCCAAAATTATATAGTACCCCTTTCATAGATACTATACGTGAATATTATAAGTGGAATTTGATATTTTTATTATGTTTTTGATATGTTTTTTTTTCGTATGTATATATATAACAAGTGAAACTCAATATATGTAATAATACAAAAGAATAAATGATAATAATATACAAAGCAACAAAAAAAAATGCGTATGTAATATAAAAAAAAAGATGAAATTCAAAAATATGAAATTATCTTGGTCTTAACAACATTCTTTCGCTACTAAAGCTTGTATAACTAGGTTTACGATTTTTTTCCGACACTTTATGTAATCCTTCCAATGAATATTCGTCATCTGTTACAGCCGAACCTTCAGTAGTACAACCTTCATCACCGAAATCAGGTCCATATTCACCTGTTTTCGCTCTTAATTCTTCTAATTGCCCCATTAATCCTGCCACAACAGATTTATCCAGTTGCTCATTCTGTTTTGCTGCTTCTCTAATTTCTCGTTCAAGATCTACTAATAATTCTCCTAATACTTGATCTGGAAACATTTGTCCATATGTGGCACCGAAAAAATGTGATAATTTGCGTATCCCTTTTAATTTTGTTTGTTTTTGTGGTTTATTATGTTGACCGGGTAAAGCGTAAGGTGTTGAAGGTGCCGATAATGCGATATCACTTTGATAATAATTATCAATATCATCTTGTGCTTCTCCATCATCACTATATGTCATATAATCAATAAGTTCGTACATAGCGTCTTTATCATTTTCCATTAAATATTCAAGAGATATGATACTTTGACGATGAAGGTCAATACTTGAATTCAGAGAATATTCCGATGAATTATCTAAAGTGTACTTGGGCTGTGATAAAATTAAATTTTGTGGAGGAGTTTCGCCAAACATTTTTTGTAATTTGACGGCTCTGTGAAGATGACGTTTCCTATCTACTGCCGATAATTTTGTAAAAGGAGTATCAGGTTGACTAGGTATTACTGGTGTGCTCGGGGTGGTTGGTGTGTTTGGTACGGCAAAAGAAAATTCTTTAGAACCCTTTTTGTTAATAAAAGTTAATGAATTAGGTCGTTTTTTCTTTGATTTTGATTGTGGTGGCGGTGATAATTGCGAAGTTGATATAGGTGGTAGAGATTCGAAATCACAATCATCTTCGCCCAATATAATATTCACTGGAACTTTTTCACCCAAGAATTGATGAAGTTTTTGCAACTTTTTACGTCGATACTCCTTAGAGTCTTTGTTAACCAAAAAAAATGGAACGGTTTCTGGATTAACCGAAGGCACTCCCTTGATTGTATGTGAGTAAGATAAACTAGTACCATTACTTGATTTTTTATCTGGTGAAACGGGAGGACTTTCCGGAGGTGTCATTACGGGTGATAACATAATACTGGAAGTTGTTGAATCCGGAGTTTGTGGTGAAACTGGTGAAATTGGTGAAACCATCGAATCAGACGCACGACGACTAATCCGCTTTCTTCTAGTTAATTTATTACTTCCTAAACTTTTGCTATGTCCATCATTGCGGTTCACCGTTGATCTATCAATACTAAAATTTTCACTATATGGAGAATTATATGGAGTATTATTTGGAGTTGATTGAATGACTGGACGAGTTAAAGTTTGTCGTATCATATCTTCATCTAATGCTTCTCCAAGCATTACTTGTAATTTCTTACTCTTTTTCCATAACATTCTCCTATCCTTTGCACTCAATTCATTCATTGTTTGCAAATGTGAACTATCATTAGTTTCAGAACTAAAAGTTCCTGATGGACTATATGGAGTTCCTGGTATAGAATTTCCTTTCCCTTTAAGTATATTCTGAGAATAAAGTTGAGAATCTTTCAAACCTCTGCCAAATATAGATTCTAATTTATCAACTTTCTTCTTTCTATTCCAAACATCCTTTCCGATTCTCTTATTCTCAGATAAAGTCGATAAAATACTATTCGTATCATCATCGCGATATTCTATTCTACCATCTAAAGTTTCATCTGGTATGGCGGCAATTTGATCATCTATCTTATCAACTTTCTCTCCGAAAACCCATTGTAGCTTTCTATCCTTTTTAATTCTTTTCATTCTTTGTGCATTCGTTAGCCTATTTTCACTATTGAAATATCCATCCAAACCTGATTGATCCGATCCATTGTTATTAATCTGTCCTCTTCTCTTTCCTTTATTATCAAGGAGAACGGTTTCAGGAAAGTATTGTGACAAAGTAGAATGAAGAGTTTGCTCTTTATAATAATGAGATACTGGTGGTTGTTCTATACTAGGGTCAAGAGCCATCGTGACGGCAAGCATAAGTGACATGTTTGGTCGGAAATAACGTTCAAGAGGTTGGGTCATTTCATGCATTTGATATTCTTCAGGATCTTTTTTTTTAAAAAAAAATAAAATAAAAATAAATATGTAAATAATAATAATAGTAGTAATGTTATAATAAAATTTGGTAAATCTAATTCTTTATTTATTAATTTAATACCTAATTCCTTTCTTCTTGCGCATTCTTCCCATTCAAAGCTATCCTCAAATCTTATAAATGTATGACCTTTCATCAGTTGATAAATAGCTACTTGCGCTTCATCAAACATATTTCTCTCCACAATGTCATCATCATCTATTGGCCAAGTAATATCTCCTCTTATTTCATCACTAAGGTTTACTTGCAAAGGAGAATTTGTACTGATATAAGTCAAATAAATATATTTTGCGTGAATTACAGCAGTTTGCTGCTCCTCAAAGTAATTGTCTTCAATATCAGTGACTCCTGCAACAAAGAGTTCTACATCAAGCCAAAATAACAAATTTTCAACCGAGAATTCCTTAATAGCAAATTTTTGGAAATAATCGAGTGCAAGTGTATTTGATAAAATAGCTTGAAATCTTGAATCTAAAGCCTGAGTCTCATTCTGAATTTGTGATACAGTAGGCAAAGAAGATGTTGAACCAATTTGAGCTGTAGAAAGCGAGTTAGATCGAGGAAGTATACTATGACTAGAATTTTCAGGTCTATTTTGAAAATCAATTTTCGACATACTGTAACTTCTTTCAACAGTTATAGTTTCTGATGGTAATGTACTGAAATTCGAAGGAAATTCTCTTTCTATAAACGAATCAGAATCATTAAATTCGTTATCATTGTCAACTTCGAAATCTTTCATTTGGTCTGAACGTCTATTATACCCTAATATAATTAAAAGGAATGTTACATTTTTTTTTAAGTAAACTCTTACTAATCTAATATAATAATCAATTTACTATTATTTGTCAGAATCGATTTATAAAGATTAACGTACCTTCATAGATATTGAGTACATTTACAACATCCCTGTGTTCTAAAACGTCACCTACAAGATCACGAAATCGTAATGTAATCATACTGACATCATACAATAACCCGACTTCAAGTGGCTCATATAAACCACCCTGTTCGATTCCGCAGAATTTAAATGCATATTCTGCTTCAATCTGTCTCGCTAACCTTTCTATTGTAAAGGTCTTTTCAACAGTTATTGGAAATGAAATTGTGGGAGTAATATATACGACAATTTGTAAAAATGAAGAAATATGTTGAATTGTCCTTGACATTCGCTTTTTTTTGATATGAGTGAGTTGATGCACTGAACGAATTGAAGGTGAAGATCTAAGAGATGAGGTAGTGGTACTTCTACTTTTTTGAAGTCTTGCAGGTTGTTTCTGTTTTGAAGAAGAATCATTAGATAATGCATTAGAAGGCGAAACATATTCATCTATAGCCGAGTTAACAGTATTTATTAAGTTTTGCATTTCAAAATTACTATTACTATTACTATAGTTATCCGATTCTTCCGTTATTACACTCTCTAAATCTCTACTATTTCCTGAAGGATTTCTTAATAGATTTCTTGCACTATGTGCACGACGAGGTGTATGGTTGTGAGATGCTGTCGAATTCGAGTTAAAATATGAAGCGGGAAGGGAGGTATTTCGAGTATGTGCCATAACATTGCGTCGTGTATTTCGTAAAGAAACATTACTATTAGAGCTGCTACTATCATAAGTTAGGATAATGTCTTCCGTTGGCGATTGTGAAAGCGAATCCATTTTTACATTAGGTTATTACTTTATTTTCGTCGAAATGGGAAACGCGGTAGATATAAATTAAAATTATAATTATGGTTGTATTGTATTTACAAGTGAAAGAAGATATATTTTATTTCACGTACAAGTTATACTATTAACAAAACCTTTTGACGAAAGTTGATTATTTATTTATTTATTTATTTTTTTTTTTTTTTAAAAAAAAAAAAATAAAAATAACAAGCTCGTTGCTTTTTTTTATTATTATTGATATATAAAAAAAGATTTCTATTTGGAATAGATATATATGGTAAAAGAAAAGGAAAGAAGGCGGTAAGGGATAAAAAAAAAAGTTGTGTAACGTTTTAATATATGTACAAACGGAGTAAACTTGCCTTATCTTGAACAAACATTATTAACCAATTAAA